ATTATTTTTTTAAATCCACTGTGTAATTGATGTAACAATAACATAAGGAGTACTTCAGACAAATTCTCTTCAGTGGAAAGAGTAATTAGTTACTGCAGTGAATCACTGATGGATGGTAATGGCAGTGGTTGCCATCTGGTAGCTTCCTGTTTTATTTTATTTTTCCTTTTTAAAAATTTTTTTTGTTTTTGTTATTTTGTTTCCACAACACGACTAATATGGAAATATGTTTTGCATGACTGCACACATATAACCTGTGTCAAATTGCTTGTCTTCTCATTGAGAGGGGAGGAGAGAACTCAGAACTCAAAAAAAAAATGTTAAAAATTTTTATATGTAGTTGAAAAAAATACATATATTTTTAAAAAAAGGCAGTTGCTGATTTGCATTGGTAGAGGGCATCTCCTTGCCAGGAGTTCCTTATATCAGTGAAATCACGGGGCCAGATTTTTTAAAATGACATTAATTACTTAGATAAAAACTAGCTTTACATATTGGTCCTTTGGACAGAAGGCTGATGCATTATTGTACATAGACCCCAAAGGAGACAGATGCCATTATTACATGTTCTTCTGGACAACTGATGTTGCCGCCCAGGTCATAAACCAGTCAAGGCTGAACTACCATGTCTACGTGCAATTGATCACACGCATTGAAAAGCAGTAGCTTTACTAGATAGAAAGTACGTCAGGTGCTGTAATGCCCCATTGGAAAATGAAGTGTTCAGAGAAGAAGCATCAATAAAACATTTTTTTAGAAAGAAAGATGTTCCATGTAACTGAATTTCCTTCTTTTTAATTTAATTTTTTTGTTGCATTTTAAGTTCCAAACTATCTCCAACTCTCCCTTCCCTGCGCTAGAGAAGGCCACCATTTGACGCAGATTCATAAATATATGTAAAACCGTACCATGCATACTTCTGTTCATCATTTCTTTCTCTGGAGGTGAACAGCAGCTTCCTTCATATGTCTGTCCTTTGTAGTTGATTTGAGTATTTATAATACTCAGAATAACTTGGTTGTTCACCATCATTTCTCAAACATTATTGCTGTTACTGTATATAGTGTTCTCTTGGTTCTGCTCATTTCACTTTTCATTATTTCCTGCAAGTCTTTCCGTGTTTTTCTAAAGTCAACCTGCTCATCATTTCTTTTTTTTTGTTCTTTTTTTTAATTCTTTCTTTATTTATTTGTTTTCCTCATCATTTCTTATAGCACAGTGGTATTCCATCACAATCGCATACCGCAGCTTGTTCAGCCATTCCCCAGTTGATGGGCATCCCCTTACTTTTCAGTTCTTGGCCACCATGGAGAGAGCTGCTGTAAATAGTTTAGAACATACAGGTTCTTTTCCCTTTTCCCTGATCACCTTTGGAAATATACTAATAGTTTTGCTGAGTCAGAGATACACATAGACTAATAACTCTGGGCATAATTCCAGTTTGCTCTCCAGAATGGTTGGAGGTTCAGAAAAGCCAACCAGCTCATCAGCCACACCCAGTGTTCTTTATCCTCTTCCACAGCCGTGGCCTGCTTTCTGTTCCTTAGAGAAGGGAGGAAGTTGCCTTCTCATGGCCCTTTGGAGCAATGCCTGCTTGTCATAGTCTCACAGCGTTCCATTTTGGCTTTGCTTTTTGTCCCCTTCATCTCTTGTCGCCATATTGTTGATTGTCTTTCTGGTCGGGCTTCCTTTGCTCTGTGTCAGCTCCTGCAAGGCTTCCTCTCCTCTGAATTCTTCACATTCCACCTTGCGGTCATGTTTCCTTACATTCATGTGCCATGCTTTGTTTAGCTGAGCCCATGTCAGTGGGCATCTCTTTGCAGTTCTTTGCTTTGCTTCTCAGTTGAGAAAGTATCTGGATACATAGTTTAAGTGAATTTGCATTGGGGTAGAAAAATACTGACATGAATTCAATTGCTGTCATTCATGAAAATCTCTGCTAACGTATAGGCGGTAGTTTGTGATGACACAGACTTTCTCTGTTGTCCATACTGGTCAGTAGATTGGGTGCTGGGGATGGGGTATGTACAGGGCACCATACCAGGTACCATACAAGTCAGAGTTTACAGTGACCTGGTGTTTACTGTTTAGGTGATTAAATCATAGGAATTCATTTGAATCTAAATATAATGGTCAATTTTGCTATGGGATGCAGTCTAGGAATTGTTTTGCATGTAATACACGTTTTAAATTTTAAGAAGAATTTTTATTGATATGTTTTTTAATACTAACTGTTTTCCCCAGTATGTCTCCTCATTCTCCCACCCAGAGGCCCATCTCATATAACAAATAGCATTTTTTTTTTTTTTTTTTTTGGTGAGGCAATTGGGGTTAAGTGACTTGCCCAAAGTCACAGCTAGGGAGTGTTATGTGTCTTGATTCCGGATTTGAACTCAGGTCCTCCTGACTCCAGGGCCTCTATCCACTCAAATAGCATTTTTTAAGACAAAAGAAAAAGAAGGGGAAAGAAATCAGCAAAACTGATGAATACATTGAAAAAGTCTGAAAACATATGTAATGTTCAACATTTGTGGACCTCCTACCTCTGCAGAGGGCTGGGGTGGGAATTTTCTTCTCATGTCTTCTTTCGGGCCACATGCAGTACATTTACAATCCCGTGCTGCCTTTTTTTGTTTTGATTTGTTTTTAAACACGAAGAACAATTTACCAACAAATATTGGCAGAAAGCCTAATGGCGCAAAGCACCATGTTGAACACTAAATGCTGTGCAAGAGACCAGCTTCCTGACTGGAATGTGGAGATAAGAGAAAGCAGGGCTGCTGGGATGTGCCCAGGCGGTGCAGGCCAGTAGCCAGATGAGGGGCTAAAGGGCCAAGTGACAGTGGCCGGTCCTGGTCTGGGCAGGGCGTCATGGAATTCGGCCTTCCAGTCTAGCGGTGAGCTTAGGACAGGCAAACTAATTAGTTTTAGTTTTGTGCTAGACAGAATGTAATTAGGAAGGTAAATCTACTGCTAAGAATACCTTAATGCCTCCCAAAGCCATGTAGAAATTAGACGATGTACACAAAGCCTTCCAAAAGAAAGGTGTGTGCGTGTGCAGTGTGTGTGTTTTGTGTGTGTGTGTGTGTGTGTGTGAGTGTGTATCAGTCCGCATCTCTTTAGTAAATAGAAGCATTGAGATGATCCTAGGAAAAGAGAAAAGTGAATTCGTATCCTTTTCCCCATGCATCTAGGTAGCTTCCTCTGCTTAGAGCTGGCCCCTGAGGGTGGCCAAGGAGGTAGCATCCAGCCCGGAGCCCACGAAGAGGCCCAGTCAAGAGCACTTTTTAGTGTTGCTCTGGCTGAACATTCCTTTTTGCACCACGGTGTGTGGGTGTTTATTTGTCTGTCAGGCAGTCAGTTGGGGTGCGTGGGGGGCCCCCTTGTGAAATGGGACTGGGGGCACAGGGGTTTTCAGATCTTGTCTGGGGCACCGCAGGCCTCTTTCTGACCCTGCCTCAACTCCAGGCTCTGCTTTGATAGAGGAAATGAATCCTCAGTCGTCATTTCCAAAGGGATCCTCTCTGAGGGAGCCGACAGAGTAATAGCTTGGGATGCTTTTTAATGAACCTTTGTGTGAAATTTGGAGAGAGTCGAGAGAGGGAGCCTGGCCTCTGGGCCTGCTTACACAGCTCAGTGAAACGCGGAGCTTCCATGTGCAAAGAAGAGCAGACAGAGGCTGGCACCTGAAACAGCAGCTCTCTCGTCTGTACCCTTTCCTTTCCGTTTACATTCCGTCAGCAGCTTTCAAAGCCAGCCTTGGCGGTGCTTTTTTTTCCCTTCTTCTGGAAAAGCTTGGGTTCGAATCCTCTCTCACTGACATTGACCAGTTCTGTGACTTTGGGCAAGTCAGGGACCCACTCTGAATTCCAGTTTTATCCTCTGTGTAATGGAGATGATTCCTGTTATACTAATTCCCTCAAGAGATGGTTTGGAGACCCCAGTGAGATTGGTGTAACGCATCAGTCCACCTTGATGAGGTATGTAAATGTTAGTGGTTGGTTCCTGTGATTAAGGCATAGGCCAAGAGAGGCTTGTCCAACTGCTTTCCTTCCCGTGCCAAAGAAGCTGTAGCTTCAGAATTTGTTTATTAAACAGCAATTTACATATATTTTAATTTTATTGTATTTTACAGAAACATTGCTTTTATAGATGTAAAATTTTGTGTTGTTTTTTAAAAGAAAATCTTATTGATGGAATTCATTGAAAGTCCAGTTATAAAATTGTAAAATTTTGTAAATTATGCATTTATAAAGAGATTGATTCTAAAAAATTTAGAAATAATTGGAAAGTACCTTTCATTTGTATGGCTCTTTGTGGTTTTCCGAACATCTTTATTGACTTTCCTACATTCATCCCAGCACCCTTCAGAGCTGTGTGTAGGACGTTGGTTCCTCTCCTGATTTGAGAGGTGGTAGGTAGATGAGACTCCTGAAGACATTTATCACACACCTGTCACACCTGGGTGTGAGTCCCCTGGACTTAAAGTCCTCATTTTTTTCCCACTGTGCCATGTAGCCTTTCTGTCCTTTTAAATTAGTTTTTTGGGGAAAAAATGAACAAAACTCAATTTTCTCTGCCTACTATCTTGCCAAAACATGTCTTAAATTTCATCTATTTAGAGTTTTAAGATTTCCCATGTGATTTTTCAATCAGTTAAAATTGTTTTCATTCTAAATATTAATGAATATATACTGACATAGTAAAAGATAAACTTTTCATACTGAAACCATTTTTTATCATGGAAATTATAATTGAAGGAGCAGTCGTTTACATAATTTTCAGGTGTTAACTGCCTTTAGTCATTCTTGAAGTAATTTTTCTTCTATAATAATATTCAGCAGAAAACTAAGTTTTATGTTAATGCGTAATAATAGCTAACATTTAGATGGTACTTTAAGGTTTGCCAGGCATTTTATAAAAGTTATCTGATTTGGTATTTGTATTACCATTTTTGAGATGAACACCTTTAATTATCTTCCTTTCTTTTTTGATATTAGGATATAGCCGACCCATTTTTTGCTTATTGCAAACAGCATGCAGACAGGCTAGACAGAAAGTGGAAGAGGAAAAACTATCTGGCGCTGCAGTCTTACTGTAAGATGTCTTTGCAAGAAAGGGAGAAGCAGCTGTCCCCTGAGGCCCAGGTACCTCCTCCATCCTTCCCGGTCCGGTCTGACTTGGTGCTTTTGAACCATTCCTGAGAGTGAAGGAGTGTTGGGCCTACCCAAGCACTTGGGTGGGCCCTTACAGCCTCCAGCAAGAGCCAAAATTGGAGGAGAAAGAAGGCTTTTTGAAATCCTTTGGGGCCAGTTGCTGACGTCCTCTTGGTTTTGAGGTTTTCAGGTTAAACTTTCAAGAGGTTTTATTCTCCTAGAAGGAGTGAACCAGCACATAGCTGCCTCTAAGGGGTGGTCGGTGCCGTGGGCCGTGGGGCCATTTTTATCTTGAAAACAGACGTCCTTAGAATAGGAAGTGAGAACGCTGTGGGGTCGAACTTGCCTTTTGATCTTGCCGGGACAGCACCCACTTGGGACAAGGAAGCCAATGTAGCCTCCTGGCAGAGGGCGGCCTGCCCTTGATCAGACCCTGCCTTTGCTGGCGCTGAGATGTGGTTCAACCTGAGGTGCTGGGGCAGCTCGACTCACCGTGAGGAACCAAACGCAGTTTTGGTTCAGAGGAGTCCCCAGGCTGCTTCTGCTTGGAGTTCTTCCGAGGGAGAACTTTATCCGTTCGACAACTGAGGGAAGTCCTTGGGGCCACACACACACACACACACACACACACACACGCATACACACACATACACACAGGAATATTCTTATTCCAGTTGGACTGCTGTGTGTGCTGTGTATATAAAGTAGTCTGTTGCTTTGGCCCTTTGCTCACTCATACTGTGTTCCAGCCCCGTGAGCCTCCCGCTGTCCTCCAGCCTTAGCATTCCACCTCTGGCCTCCATGGTTCTGGAAGGCCTAGAAGGTCTGTGGAGGTCATCTCAGCCCAGGTGTCAGCACCTATGCAGCAGCCCCCCCCCCCCCCCATCCTCCAGGCACCTCCCTTTTGCTTCCACTCACCTCATTGCTGCACCTGTTTCCAAGGGCAGAGGATGTCCCATCTTTTTCCTTGAGTGGTCCCAATACACAGTAGGTAGTTAATCAGTGTTGGTTGGATTTAATTGGTCTCTGCCTTCCATTTTTATGTCTTTTAAATATATTGATTATTCCTTTATATACAGACTGACTTGAAATCCTTTTCTTTTCCAGGCCAGAATCAATGCGCGACTGCAGCAGTATCGGGCCAAGGCAGAACTGGCTCGTTCCACCAGGCCTCAGGCCTGGGTACCCAGAGAAAAGCTTCCCCGGCCTCTGACCAGCAGTGCCTCGGCCATTCGTAAACTGATGCGGAAAGCCGAGCTCATGGGCATCAGCACAGACATCTTCCCTGTGGACACGTCGGACACTAGCTCCAGTGTGGACGGGCGGCGAAAGCACAAACAGCCGGCTTTGACTGCGGACTTTGTGAACTACTATTTTGGTCAGTATGGACAGGTCGCACACACAGTGAGGTCTGGTCAGTCTTTTCCTCTGGCATTTCTTCCATGCTGTTGCCGAGTCGTGTAGCCAGCCCCAGGGTGTTTACCCTTGCGGTCTGCGTACCTCCTTCTTTAGCCTTAGACTCACCTAGATGAGCCCTCAGATAGTACTGGTGTGCATGTCTTCCTGCTCCTTCAGGCAGGGGAGGGTATTTTGTGAAGTAACGTGGTGGTCTCTTTGGTTTAAATAGAGAGAAACATGCGCATGATTCAGATCCAGGAGAACATGGCTGAGCAGAAGAACATCAAGGACAAGCTAGAAAATGAACAGGAGAAGCTGCATGTGGAGTACAACAAGGTGAGTGAAGGCTGGACCCGTATGTGGACAGCCAAGGCTGCCGCATGACCCGTGAGGGGCGCCATGGAGACGGCAAGGGCCACCAAAGGGCCTGCGAGGGGCAGCCAGGGCTGCCATAAGGCGCCGCACCTCGAGCCCGCAGGATCTGAGTTCGAAAGTGGCCTCAGACTCACGTGAACATAGGGACTATAGGCCAGCCACTCCCTCATCTGTAAACTATAAAGGTTTACAGTTAAACTATAAAGGCAGCACCTGCCTCCTCCTCTGGTCCTCGAGAGGGTCAGTGAGGGCCTCTGCAGGAAGTGATTTGCAAATCTGAGCATGCTCTAGAAATACTAACCACCATGGTCATGTCATGGTCTGGACCCTATGTGCACATTTGTACAGCCATGTTTCTGTGAACTAAGAAATTTGGAGTGCCCTGGATGTGTGAGGATTTCTATTTCATTTCTGTTTTCTTCTGAATTTGGAAGGAGCTCACACTTTAAACTTCCATTAGGAAAATATGGAAGCAAGATACAACAAGAAAACTTGCATTGTATTTTAACAGCATTTCCAAATAAGAGTAGAGTATATTGCCCTTGATTAAACTTCTTTTAAGCCTGCAGGCAGCTTGCCATAGAGGCCCGTGGGCTGGCCAGCAGGTGGGGAGGGCCTGAGTGAAGGCCTATCGCCGGCACATCCCGGCTGTGTGGGCAGGCTCCTCTTTCCGCCGAGGCTGCCCACCTCGGGCTCTCGGGCCCATCACTCTGCTGGCCCCCCGGCTCCTCCCTCTCTCCCACCCTGCGTGTTTCGTTAATCTGGGCAGCCGCTGCCACATCTCCTTCTCTCCGGTCACCCGGACGGCACTCTAGTGCCAGGCATTGTGTGGTTGCCGTATTCTTTTTTTCTGACGAGAGTTCTGACAGATGATCTCATAGATCCTTGGATAGCTGTATCAGTCTGTTCTCAATCATTTTCCATCCGAGTAACTGAAACGTGTTTTAGACACAGCAGTCCCTGAACACCTATGAAGAATGTTTTGGTGACTGAGGGGTCCGAGAGACCTTTGGATTGAAGTCCACCTCATGCTCTCGAGCAGTGTGAAGCATAGTGACCGCATAGTTGGCCTGGGGGCTGGCCTGGCCTAGGTTCCAGTGCCTCGTCTCACACACATTGGCTGGCAGGCCCGGGTCACTTGCTGAAGTTCTCAGGGCTGGCAGGCTGTTCTTCCAGACTGTAGACTGACTGCCCTGGTAGAGGTTCCCCCCACACCCTGGGAGAGCCCCCAGGGCCAGACCAGAAAGTGAAACAGCCGCCAGTGTGGTGAGGGTCATACTGGAGGGGCAGCCGTCTGCGGGGCCCAGGGGAGCACCTTCCTGTCATGACTTTTTCTCCCCTTCCTTTCATTAGCTTTGTGAATCTTTAGAAGAACTCCAGAACCTGAATGGAAAGCTCAGAAATGAAGGACAAGGGATCTGGGCCTTGCTGGGCAGAATCACTGGACAGGTGGGTCTTTCCCCTGCCATCCCCCTCTGACGTCCCCTAGCCTTCGTATGGCTCCACAGATGATTCTCCAGGAATCGTCTTCTGGTCCATCTGTCAGCTTGTGTTTGGCTGAGCCCAAGCGATGCTTTGGGGGTAATGATTTCTGACTGAAGCCTGTGGAGAGGTCCATAAACCACCCCCTGGAAACCTGCAGCTTAATTTTGTTGTTGAAATAGCTGTTTTGTTTGCAAAACTCTTCCATTTGCACTCACTGATTGCCCTGTCACTGGTGATGAAGCCAGACCCAAGCACCAGTTAATCCTGGCAAATTCTCTCCTGCCCCTTGGGCAGGGCCACGTGTTAGGGAGGGAAGGACAAGTCTGCTTCTTCCTTCAGGAGTGCAGAGTGCTTGTGGTCATTGGCACAGACGTGCCTGGCTGGCTCAGTGTTAGGAGTCCTCGTGCTGGGAGGAATGCTTGCGGGATTCTTGGACGACCCTTGGGTTGGAGAAGCGCCTCTTCTCAGCTAGGAGGACTCCAAGGAGGGCAGAGTCTGTGATGTAGTCGATCAGTAATTTTACAAAGCATGCGTTCTTGTTCGCTGTCGTTGAGGAGTGGAGTGGCACCAAGTCACCGGGCCCAAGGAGCAGTGGGTGGTGCAAGAGGCTCTTAAGGTGGGCTTCAGAGACCTCGGTGTCTTCTGTTGTTCCCTCCCCTTGCCGGGCTGGCTCTTTGCTGGGTCTGTGGAGGTGCCTGTCCAGACCCCCCTCCCTGGGTTCTGTCTGTGTGAGGCACTGCGCAGAGATGGCCATGATCTGGAGGAAAGTCCAGGGGGAGTCTGGCCACCTTTGGGCAGAGGTCGGGCCAATAAGATCATTTTTCTGATTCACCTGTGGAGCACCAGCACGGCTCAGACAAATGGCCTCCCTCTTCTTCTGTCGGGCAGAGGCAGGCCTTTCCCTTCTTTGTTTTCCACTCCCCTCTGGGAAGTGACCTTGTCTGCCTGGGAGTTTTTATTCTCCTTAAGGAAAAGGAGCAAGAGGCGCCCCCCCCCCCCCCCCCGGCTGCCCCTGGGCCACCCTGTCAGAGGCCGGTGGTGGCTGGCCAGATGGCTGAGCAGTCTCTCCCCGGTCAGCAGGGGGACAGTCGGGGTGGGGGGAGGGGACTGTTACTTGGTCCACAAGGAGAAGGGGATTGCTTGTGGTCTTTCAGACCCTAAAAACTGCATTGTTTACATCAATAGAAGTTGAACATACCGGCCATCTTGCGAGCGCCCAAGGAGAGAAAGCCCAGCAAAAAGGAAGGTGGTGCCCAAAAGACCTCGACCCTGCCTGCTGTCCTTTATAGGCAAGTATTGAGGATCTGATGGGGCAGAGCAGGGTGGGAGGGTGGGGCTGGGCTGGAGCCGCTTTTGTAGCGCCAGGCCATGGGGTCCTGGCCAGGAGCGGCCAAAGCACCTTTCATACCCCATTCCATTTTTCCTGTGTGCCCAGTCAGCATGATTCAGTCTGATAGGCTTTTGTTCTGTTTCCTTGTTTGGCTTATTCTGCAGTGTGACGTTGAGTGTGTAGCAAGCTCCTCCCCAGCCTGCAGCCAGGCCATGTGTGGGCTAAGCTGAGCCCCTGCTGCCATGTTGGGAGATGGCAGGCAGGGAAGGTAGTCTTCTTGGAAAGTCCCACAGGAACAGTGCTGTGACTGGACCTCCTCAGAACCGATGGAGAGCCCAGCAGCCGCTGTACCTGTGGGAGGGCCTTCGGCCACCTTTCTTTGGGAGCTAAGATGGTTCATTGGAGGATCAGCCAGAGATAAGATACTTTTTTGTCCATTACAATGTCATACACATTACTTGCTTTTCTGAGGGTGTGGGTGACCATATTGGCACCATGGCAGTGCCCTAATACCAGTGTAGATGGGCAGCTTCTTTGCATCTTAGATTCTTACACCCCTGGAGCCCTGGGAAGCTAAGTCACCTGCCCAGGCTCATCCAGGCAGGACCCAGGCCCAGCTTTCCAGCCTCTCCATCAATCTGCTCATGTGGCTGTAACAGTAGAAAATAAAATCCCAGTTTCCTTTCTGTGCACACACACTCACCCACCCCACCATTCTCAGAGAGTGGTACCTTTGCTGTGATGAACTTCAGCTAGAATCCCATTTGATTTCTATTTATAATCACTTCCCCTTAAGGGTACTTTGCTTCTGTTTTGCAGGAGGGCAGTTTGATGTCTGAGAGTCTTTGAAAACTTGACTTTTGCAATTTGTAATGACCGGTTTATTTTCTAAACCCCAACATTTAATTTGGAAATGCTTCATTGTCTACCTAAGCTATCTTGGGAGGACTTATTGAAGGATATTTTTAGATTTCAAACATTCATGTTAGAAAATTAAGTGAATTTTGATTGTATTTGAAATTCTTTAATGTGTCAGTTTTGATTGTCTTTAAATATCTGTGAATTATCTTTATTTATTTATTTATTTTTTTGCTTAGGCAGTTGGGGTTAAATGACTTGCCCAGGGTCACACAGCTAGTAAGTGTCAAGTGTTTGGTCTGAGGCCGCATTTGAACTCAGATCCTCCTGACTTCAGGGCCGGTGCTCTATCCACTGCGCCACCTAGCTGCCCCTCTGTGAATTATTTTTAGCATAAATTACAAATAGTAAGATATTTGGAGGAAATGGCCCTTGGATATGGAAGGATTTCCTCTATGTTGTCCATAAGAGAATTGAGTGGACTTTTCCATAACTTCTGGATTTTTTTTTCTCTTTCTTATTCAGTACTAAGGAATCAATCTAAGGGAAGCATGCATTTCCAACTCCTTAAGTCAAGGGGAACAGATAGTTATGCCTTTCTTAGAAGATTTTGAATATGACAGTTCCTTAGTTAAGCTTTTGAACTGGTCATTGAAGACTTCATTGGTATTGAGAATTTGGTAGTAATCACTACCTCACAACACACACATGTGAAGGAAATGTTTGTTGTCTGTTAAAAAAAAAAAAGAAAGCAATAAAAGTTGATAATTAAGGAAATGGCCTATAGAAAGGAGTCTTTGTAATGCTTTCCATTTTGGCATATGGTTAGAAATGGTTGGCTGTCTTTGAATAGTTTGTTATTTTCATGCTTTTTTCCCTGCCTTTCTTCACAGTTGTGGAATTTGTAAGAAGAGCCATGACCAGCATCTCCTTTTGCTGTGTGACACCTGTAAGCTGCATTATCATCTGGGCTGTCTGGATCCCCCTCTGACGAGGATGCCAAGGAAGACCAAAAACAGCTACTGGTGAGGACAGTTCTGGGCTCCTAGCCGTGACTGCTGGGTTTGCTGTTTGTGCACCAGGGACACGAGAGGCTGATTTAGGCAAAAGCGGAGAGTAGACGTTACCGGCACCTTCCTCAGTGTTTATTCGGCCTGCATGTGCACTGACTATGCCAGTGTGCCCCCTCTAACTATAGGCAGCTTTTTGTTGTCCCCTCTGACTCTTGGTGACCCCGCTTGGGCTTTTCTTGGCAAAGATACTAGAATGGTTGGCCGTTTCCTTCTCCAGCTCGTTTGGCAGATGAGGAAACAGAGGCAAGCAGGGTGAAGTGACTTGTTCAGGGTTGCTCAGCGAGTAAATGTCTGAGGCCAGATTTGAACCAGATTTTACTTGGTCTGGGCACTTCATCCACTGTGCCGCCTAGCCGCCCGTGTCCAACTCTTTGTAACCCCATGTGCCAACTGTCCATGGGGTGTTTTGTCAGGCGTACTGGAATGTTTGGCATTTCTTTCTCCAGTTTTATGCGGGCAAGGCTTAAGTTACTTGCCCAGAGTCACACAACTAGGCAGTGTCTGAGGCTGGATTTGAACTCCGGTCTTCCTGACTCCAGGCCCAGTGCTGGCAGGTGCCAGCTGCCCACAGCCACATAGGTGGCTCAGTGGAGAGAGCCACAGGGTCTAGGGGCAGGAAGATCTGAGTTCAGATCTGGCCTGTGACACTTTCTAGTTGTGTGTCTCTGGGTAAGTCACTTCACTCCTGTCTCCATCAGTTTCCTTATCTGTAAAATGGGGATTGTAACAGCACCTCCTCCCAGGGTTGTTTTGAGGACCAAGTGAATTAACATGTGTAAAGGTCTTTGCAGACCTTCAAGTGTCTTGCGAATGTTGGTGGTGAGGAATGATTGTCTGCAGGTGTCTCTGTCTTAGTAGTGAGAGAGACCCTAGCCCACCCACGAGGCAGCGGCGCTGCACACCTCCCCTGCCGATCAGAGGGTCGCCCGTTCATTCCGTAGGAGGCCTGCACTTTTCCAGCCTGTCCAGAGTTCAGAGGAAAGAGCTGTCAGCATGCCTGAGGTGGGGCCAGCAACGCCACGGGACGGATGGCTCAGGTTGAGAGCCTCATTGCTCAGTGGGAGAATTAGGACAGAGCTGCCAGGGTCAGGGATTCTGGAGCCTTGAAAAACACCTCTCCTCTTGGATGGGGTGACTGGGGGAGTGAGGTGGGAGCTGGTGTGTGTGTGTGTGTGTGTGCGCGCGCGTGTGTGTGTGTGCGCGCGCGTGCGTGCGCGCGCATATATGTCTATAAATGCATATGTAGTTTGGTGTTAGTAACATGCCTACTGTTGTGCTCTCAGCTCTGTTGTTATTTACTCACTTCAGAACTGGCCTTGTCCCTCCTTCTAACTGTCTCGGGACGCTCCTGGGCCCTTTCTCAGAGGGAGTGCTCTTGGAACCTTTCCATGCAGCTTTTGCTTTAGCCTAAATCACTTGGATCCATTAGCCTACATTTTTTTTTTTTACAATCTTATTAAACATATTTTCACATTGGTGAGGTTGTAAGTAAAAATTAAAACCAATAGGAGAAACCATCGGGAAAAGGAAACAAAACTCAACAGAAGAGAAAAAAATAGCAATTCAACTTCCATAGTTCTTTCTTTGGATGTGGATAGCATTTACCATCACAAGGCTTTGGAGATGTCTTAGATCCTTGTATTGCCAGGAAGGGTTAAGTTTATCAATATTAGTCATCGTACAACATGGCTCCTACATTGGTTTAATAGAATTTTTTAACCTGGTCAGCTTTGAGACAGAGATTTCTATTTCTTTGATTTTTTTTTAAGCTCTTCCTTAACAATTCTCTGTTAAGAAACTGATCAGATCTCAGTTGACTCCTTTGCCCATCATGCTTTCTTCCTTAAAGATTTTATGTAGTTACTCATGTAGTTTAAATTTATTAAGTGCTATTTGTCAGCCCTGGTAAGTCAGTCAGCATTTTATAAGGAGTAAAGAACTACAGTTCCTTGTAATGCAAATGCATTTAAAATATCCACTTAATGTTCCTAAAATGGTAGGGGATTATTACAAGTAATCGATTTCGTGGACATTTGTTAAGCAAGGAATCGTGTGGCCCAGAGGCCTGAGGATACAGCAGGGAACCAGGACTGACTGTAGCATGCCTGCATACCTCCAGGGCACAGGAAGAATGTGAAGGTATACAGTTGGCTTCAAGCTTTATGCTGGGAGCTGTTGAGGAGCGTGTGTGAGGCTAGTGGGCATGGGAAGAGCTCAGAGAACAGAGCCCAAGTTCCGCTGTGGTCAGTGCTCTGATGCAGGCCAGAGAGGTGAGGGAGGGCCTGCCTAGCCTGGGCATCAGAGAGGGGTCAAGAACGAGCTCTGGCTCAAGTGCCACCTCGTCCCTGTGCGTGCTGGCTCATGCCGCCCAGCAGGCGGTTTTTTCTTTTGAATTCCCAGAACACTCGGGGCTTTTTTTTTTTTGTCAGAAGACCCTTCTCCCCTACCACTTGAAGTCCCTACTGTGTGCCACAGACCATGCTAAGCCCTGAGGATACAAGGAAAGACAAAAGATGGCCCCTTCTGTCAAGGGAAACCATCTGAAAACAATTGGATACAAACAAGAGACATGTAGGAGAAAGCAGGAGAATCAGCAGAAGGGAGACCCTGGCATGAACGGGGAGAGAAATGGCTTCTTGGTGAAGATTGGATTTTAGCTGGGGGAGAGTGTCCTGGGCGCAAGGGAAGAGCCAGGGAAATGCCCAGAATCTGGAGTTTGCTAAGGTAGGATCAGGACAGTGTCCAAGGCCGCAGAGGGGTCAGAGACGCCCATTCGGTTTGGCCACGGAGAGATGTGAATAACTTTGGAGAGGGCGTGGAAGTGCTGGTGTAGATGGCCGTTTCCACCAAGGGCCGCAGGGAGAGAGGACAGTGGTGAGCGTGGGTGGAAGGACCACATGAGGCTGGTTTGTGGATGGGAGAGACGTGGGCCTATTTGGGGCCTATGGGTGAGTTCAGAGGAAAGAGCTGTCAGCATGTTTGAGGTGGGGCCGGCAGCACCACAGAGGGATGGCTCGGGTCTAAAGCCTCATTGCTCAGTGGGAGAATTAGGACAGAATAGTGACCTTCTCCAAAAATGCATGCAGCCTTCCACATCTGGGGCACCCCTCCCTTTTTCTTTAGCGTTTTAAAAAAGTTACTGATAATGTGTGTCCTCATTTCTTACAGTGCTCCTGCACGGTCATATACCATAACTTTTCTAGGCATTCCTCAATTGTTGGATGCTGCTTTGAGGGAAATATGGGTCACTTCTTACTATGGGCATTAGGAAGTAAGACAGGGCCAGCAGTCCTGGGCTTTGTTCCCAGGGAGAAGCCTTGTGGGGGCTGCCTGGAGGAGGTGCCAGGAAGCATCGTCTTCCGTCTCTTGGGATGGCCATGGGTGCTAAGTGGGTGGCCAGCTAGCACAGGTCCATTGGCTTGTCTCATTCTTTCAGATGTGCTAATCTCACGCTTCAGCTGCCTTTGCAATTGGAAGCTAGGCTTTCCCTTTTAGTTAGTTCGAGATTATTCTGGAGGATGTGGTTTTACCAGAGAAATTGAACTGTATTGATCGTGTTCTCTTCGTCTCTGGGTATGCCTTTGTGGCTTCTTTTCAAGGTCGATAGAAGCCATATAAAATAGACCCTTCTTTTAAAGGTCAGGATTAGCAGAAGGACCCCTTCCTCCCCTGCTGCTGTTAGTTGTTTTAAAATGATTGTCTTTTCCCTCCATGAACTCTCTCTTGAGATTGGATCATTAAGCTTGGCCCCCAAGAACTACATATGTGCATCTGTCTCTGTTAACTAGAGAGGCTGTGAGGAGCCTCAGTCTTCTGTCTGTGAAATGGAGCCAGTCCTGGGCCGTGATGCTTTCCGATGGTGAGGACTCTCAGCGTCAGCCCACTGTCCTCTCTCCCCTGAGCCCGCTGTTGCCTCCAGCCACCGTGCTCGTTCATGTCCCACGCTTCCCTCCCTTTGCCTGTTGGGCCGTAGCCCCCGGCTTGTCCCCCTCCCCTCTTTAGCGCCTTTCCTTGCTCGTGTGTGTGCTCCTTGGGTGCTCCTGGGCCTCTGCAGTCGTCTCTTTACAGCCCAGGGCCTGTCTCTGGGGACCTGTCCCCTCCGGTGAGTTTGGAGCCGATGCCAAAATCTGTCTGCCGAGCTCTAGCCCCCAGCCGCGGCCCCTGTCCAGCACCTCCACTGGGGCTTTCTGTCACTCCTCCCCAGCCCTGCCCAGGTCGTCACCCACGTGACCACCTCTTCCCCGCCCTTGTTTGTTCCCTCCGCTTTGTCCCCACGTCTCCTTCCTTAGCCAGGGAGTCATCGAGCTTCGTGTGGCACGTCTCATACCCTTGGCGGCTTGGGTTAGGTTCTGGGCTAGTCGGTGCCTTCCTTGGCGCCATCTCAGAACCCAAATTTCCTCGCACCTCGTGTCTGTGGGGTCCTTGGCTTCTGCTGACTTAGCCTGGGAGCCCAGCACCCATCCCACCGTATGCGCTTTATCCTGGCTCTGCTCCTTGGTCCGCTGAGTCCCTGACATGGATGTGACTCTTGGGAACGATTCAGCTTAGCCTTAGTGGGATGGGAGGGTTGGGTGTCAGAGAACCATAAACGATGCCGGCACACTGACCTCTACCAGAGGCCGTTCGTTTCTCCACTTGTGGTGTCCACCCGTCCCCCAGCTCTCAGCTGTAGCTCCAGGAAGCTGCAGCACGTGCAGCAGCCAACCGCGCGAAGCCTTGGCAGACGGGCTGAACTTTCTAATTTCTGAGTTGCTGTCAGGCGAATCTTTGAAAGATTCTAAGAGAGGGAGAAAGCGGCCTCACAAGACTAGGCAGCTGGGTCGGGGGAGGTACTGGACTTGAAGACCAAAAAGCCCGGGTTTGAATCCCGCTTTAGATACTTAGTAGCTGGATGTTTTGGGGGAAGTCACTTATCAACTCTGTGCCTCAGCTTTCCTTTTCTGGAAAATGAAAGGGGTCAGATACAACCTCCAAGGTTCCTGCCAGCTCTGGATCTGTGATCTTAGGAGCCTGTCACCGCAGTAGCACAAATGTCCAGTTTCCCAGAATTGGTAGAAAATGGAGCCTGGTGACTGTCACCGATGGTAGTTGAATAAATGGCTCCTGGACAACTTTCAGGGGAAATGGTGGACACAGAGAGCCAGCATGTCAGTGATTTGTCGAGAAGAGGTTCTGCTGGACTTAGCTTGTTCCTTTATTACTTTGGTCGAAGCATTTGGGCTGTTCTTGTGGAAAATCTGGCTCCACGTGGAGGCCAAAGAAATGGTACAATTAGGTGGGTGTGGAACATGTCCAATGGAGAGGCTTTGTGGCTTCCTTAGTGGTTCTGCGCCGGGCCCAGTGTTGGTAAGCGTTTTTATCAGCGATTTGGATGAGTGGTATGCTTATCAAGATTATAGATGCCATAAAGTTAGGGTGGATGGCCCGCATGTGGCCTGCCTCAGTCAGGTTCCAAAAAGCTATTGACAGGCTAGAAGACTGGGCCAAATCCAGTAAAATTTAATCTAACTGGGATAAATCGTACACTGATATTCAGAAAACTCCACTTCCCAAGCACCAGGTGGGGAGATGTGACTAGACAGTCGTTTATTGGGAAAAAGACCTGGTGATCTCAATGGACTGTGAGCCCCGTGCGGGTCAGCAGGATGCTATTGCAGTAGTTTGTGACCTGGTCTTGGCTTCAGTTTGGTTGCCGTGTTTTAGGAAAGACATTGGTGACCTGAAAGCATAGACAGGAGAACCACTTGGCTCTTTAATGGCCTTAAGATAGTGTCACTGGAGGACCTCATTGTGCCTGAGGAAAAAGTGATGGAGGGATGGGGTCCACGATCGCCGTCTTCAAGTATTCTTAGAAGAGAGGATGGAGTTGTTGGGCTTGGCCCAAAGCTGGATCCGAATGAGGATCAGGAGAGGAGTGAGACCTGTCTTGAAGGCCTTCCTCAGCAGTAGGATGGCTCCTGGGGGGCAGTATTGCGGAGAGCATGGTTTTTCAGCTGGGCCATGGAGGTCCCTTCCAGGTCTGTCAACTGACCAGTGTAACTAGATTACGTGTGGGCAGCGCCTTTAAAACTGCCCAGCCATCTATCCAGGGGATTTATTTAGATAGATGATGATTTAGCTAATTGGATTTTCTGATTAATAGGAAATTTCTTCGAATTTCAGTCCATGTTAAATTATTTCTAAAATGTTAGGATATTTTCTTACTTTAGTACCGTGGTGAAAATAATTTAATTTTGCTTTTATGATAGAGATTTTTAAAATGCCCACAATTATAACTGAACAGCACTTTAAGTAGCAGTAATACTAAACTCACCCAGATGCTCTCACTGGGCCAGTGGCTGTCGGGTTCAGGTCTTCCCGACATTCCCAACTAAGATCAGTCTTCCTGAGAAGGGCTTTCTTATTGCCCTTTGCTCCTTTCTTTCGGAAGCTGTCTGCAGAGAAACAACTTTTGATTAACTGGGGTCCAGTCATTTGGATTCTGGTTAATCAGGGTGTAAGCGTTGCTTTTTACTTAGCGTAGGAAGTTTAAGGAGCTCATTATACTACGAGGTTTGTGTCAGGCTGGAATTATGAATCCTTCGATTAGACAGCGTCCTGAGAATGTGCTCACTCCAACTCTGTGCAGTGGTGCAGTTTTGTCCCCAGTTTGTCCTGTGACTTTGGGCAGGTAGTTTGTGTTTTGTGCTTCAGTTTTCTCTGTTGTAAAATGAAGGGCTCAGATGTTTCCCCAGGTCCTCTCCAGCGCCCATATGTCTTTGTGACCTTGTATTCGGACTACTTCCTAGGCAAGACCACTTACCAAGGCCAACCCATTCCCTGCTCAGGTGATCCTGTTCTATCCCATCTCTTCCAACAAATTGGCCCCTCTGTCACCTGCACTGTCCCTTATTTTCAATTTCTCCCTCTCCACTGGTTCATTCCCTGCTGCCTACAAACATGCCCATGTCTCCTCCATCCTGAAAAAACTCTCACTTGATCCTTTCATCCTATTCTCTTCTGCCCTTTGTAGCTAAACTCCTAGAAAAAGAGGTCTCCCATAGGTTCCTTTGTTTTCTCTCCTCTCACTCCCTTCTTAATCCCTCATGATCCAGCTTCTGACCTTATCATTCCACCAAAATCTCTTCTCCAAAGTTACTATTGATCTCTTAGTTGACATCCGGTGGCCTTTTCTCAATCTTCCTTCTCCTTGACCTCTCTGCAGCTTTGGATACTGTTGGTCACTCTCTCCTTTTTGATACTGTATTCACTCTGGGTTTATGGGACACCTCACCCAGTCCTGGTTGTCCTCCTACCTCTGACTGTTTCTTCTCTGTCTGCTTTGCTGGCTCCTCCACCAGATCACAGCCTCCAACAATAGCAGTTCCTCAGGTTCTGTCCAGAGTCATCTTCTCTTCTCTCTTTATACTGTTTCACTTGGTGATCTCATCAGCTCCTATGGCTTTACTTACCATCTCTGTGGTTGATTTTTTTTAATAGCAGGTAATAATGAAGATTACTAATAGCTACTGTATCGACTGCTCTTTCAATTATATTTTAATGTTAGATTAATTTTTTTTAATGACTATTGCTTTAATGAGTTCATTTGGTCTTGGAGTGTTGATATTTTCATTCTCTAGTAGGAATGTCTGCCATATTAGAAAATGAACCATTGATATCCCCCCTACCCCAGAAGTAAGCCTTCTTGCGCACTTTTTGAACAATATTTTCTTTGGAGAACAAATTGTTTGCAGTTTGTTATTGGTAAAAATGAAAAGATAGAGTGGCTACAAAAGCGAATAGATGCCGGATCAATGGATGCCTTTTGGGATTAAGGCACCACAGTCTATAAGTTAGTAAAGAAAAAAAAATGCCTCTCTTTTCCAAAGACAGTCCATTCTTGTCCATGTTGTATTACTTAGGGAAATTTTCTTTAAATATGTTCCTAGTGTTTCTGCAGATACAGATGGAGCTGCTTTTTATGTTAGTGAAAGGGTTTCCCAGTGGTTCAGAGGTGTGAGTTGTATATGGTGAGCGTCGAGGCCCATTTATCTATAGAAAATGGAACCATACACACGTGCAGGTTGATGGTTCGGAGGTGAAAGTGAGTATTTAAACACACTGTTCGGTTTTGTTTCCACCACAGGCAGTGCTCAGAGTGTGACCAAGCAGGGAGCAGTGACATGGAAGCTGATATCGCCATGGAAACCTTACCAGATGGGACCAAACGGTCACGGAGGCAGATCAAAGAGCCAGTCAAATTTGTTCCTCAAGATGTGCCACCAGAACCTAAGAAGATGCCAATCAGAAACACAGTAACTATCGTGGTTTTGTTTTTAATTATCATTACGTAAAGCTGGATGATATGTAAGAAACAAATGAATCTGTCTCCCATGCCCCAGGAGTGGGAGCCCCTCACTCTAGGATTGGTTTCAGCCTGTCTGTGCTACGTTGACAGCTGGTGTAGGTCAGGGGGCGTTGCTGGAGTCTTGGGAGTGAAAGATGCAAGCTGCCTTCCTGCTTAGATGTGTGTCTTTCACCTTCTCCAGAACTTCATTCTCCTGTCAGAATAGCAGTTGTGAATTCTACTTGTCCTCATCTGTGCCCGCTGTGTTTTAGATAGATAAAGTAAATTTGTACCAGCTTTCCACTTAGGTCTGTAGGTAGCCTTTACATGAAGGACACCCATACTCTGTGACACCTTTAGATACTGGAGATGAGACCTCTTGGTGTTACCCTGATCCCTAAAGAAATACAAATTGAGAACCTGGCAAAGTCCAAAGGCTGGATATTGCTGTTTGTGAGTATTTTTACTTTTTATGCTTCATTTAAACACAAAAAAAGAGTGTTTCCGTGTACCTAGCCGAACGCAGAAGAGGATCTGATAGGAAATTGTGAACTTCCATTTCATGCCACTTACCTTGTTAAAGAGATGATAATATCCACATTATTTTCAAAAGCATACCTTTTATGCTTTCTTCTGTCCTCTTCTGTGCATTTTAAAAAACATTTCAGTGCCCTGATTTTTTTTGCTGTCAGTATTACTAAATGCCCTTCTGCCCGCGTAACCGGCTCCTCCCCATTAAAAACTGAGAGAAAGAAGAGGGAGGGGCCCTTGTCACGAACGGTCGCCCCCAGTGTCCTTGTCCAGAAATCTGTGGCAGTCATATTCCTATATATTCACATCACAGTTTGTTCCACCATTCCACCAATGGATGGACACTCTCTTTCGCGAATCTTTGCTACAACGAAAATGCTTTCTGTGAATGTTCGTAGATATGGGCGTAATGGGCTTTTTTTCCTCCAGATTGCTTACAGAAATCTTAACAAGGTAACGATCATATTGAGGTGACGCGAGGGCTACACAGGCAGTGATTTTTCCCTCCCCTTTTTCTAATTTGTTGCTTCTAGTCTCTTTAAAATATTCTGCTTAATGCATCATTGATTTTTTGAATAAGCAACTCATACATTTACAGTCTTTTTGACTAGCTCACATTTTCCCCCAGTAATGAAAAAAGATGGCTCCTTCACATCAGTCTTCTTTGTGTGCTCTGCTCAATGTCAGACCTGTTGGATGCTGGATGTCCAGCCCTCACTTCCCGTCTGACTGGCCGTCACCGCCGCTTTCTTGGGCTCGTGTCCCTAGCATTCCCCACCAGGCATCGCACATCCTTTTAAATGCTGTGTGCCCTTTTCTTCTTTCCTTCTGATGTGTTGTGGGTGTAGCTTCACATGTTTTCTCTTGACTGCCTGTAATTCCATTTCCCTCTTTTTAAACTGAGGTGGCCCCACCTGTGTCCTCCCTGGGCCTGGGCCTAGGCCTCGGGTCTGGCTCTGGGAGCCAGAACAGCCTGGAGACCAGATGGGGAGGTTTGGGGAGAGTCCGGGTTTTCTTTGCATGACAGTGGTGGATGAAGGGTAGATGACAGCAGTGGGCTTGGAGACTCACGCGGAGGCTCCAGTCATCACCGAAGGGAGAGGGTCAGGGTTCTAGTCGGCCCGGACCATCCGTAGCAGTGTCTGGGTCAGTGGAGAGACTGGGTTGTAGGAAAGAATTTTTGTCAGGGAAGAAACAAGGTCCGGCAGTGGCCTCAAAGTGTCAAGTGAGAAAGGAAGAGGAGAGAGGTGGGGGAAATCCTGGAGGAAGCGCTTGGAAGCGGAGAGTCAGTCTCGGCGGCCTGTGAGGTGCCACTCATCTTGGACGTGTTGTGATCGGTCCATTGCGTGTGGTGGGCAGGCGTCCTTTAGTTTTCAGCTCGAAGGCTCTTGGATCTGCAGATGGCAGCTGTATGATCCGTCACGAGCAGATTCATTTCAGATGTCTGACATCCCGTCCTTCGGGGTAGCTCCCACCTGCAGGGGACCTGTAGGAGCATGGGGCGGGACGGTGTCGGACTTGGGGAGCAGGCTTATTTTATCAGGAGGCTTTACGTCACTGGGTGATTATAGTTTCATAAAGGGAACTGACCCCACTAAAAGGGGCAAACCTGGGGATGTGTGCTGTTTCTCTACAGATGAAGAGAATTTCTCATGGCCTCATCCATTTCAGTGTGTACATTTGGCTGCAGTTGCTTCTTGTCTTGGGGTGATTTGCTTGTATTACAGTAGAATATGAATACCTCGAAGGAGGAGGTGGGGGTCTGGTGCGAGGCCCTCACATGCTTCAGTACGCTCGTAAGGGAGTGTGCTGAGGCATCCCATCATCTCCTGTAATTGCAGGGGCACTTGGTTCGGTGGTTAAATTATTTTTGTCATTTCTGTGGACTAGGAAGCATATGTTCTTTATTTGGCGTCAGCTCCGATGGGTTAAATTTTCAGTTGATCATTTGTGCCTTGGAAAGTTACGAATCAGGGCTGATTGATTGTTTTAATTGTCTAGTCTTAAGAGACTGATGGAGAAAATGGAAATGATGCAGCTTCCACTTAAAAGTATGTCCTAGGTACCCCCTTCCTCCCGAAAGCTGATTGTTAAACGTTTACCAGCACAGCCCTGTTTGGGCCCCATAGGACTTTCTGGAACTTCTTTATACATTCTGAGAACTGAGTCTTTCTGCCTCCTCTGGAGCTCAGAGTGAAGGCCCAACAGCCCTTACTGCTCCTGCTGGCTATGGCAGAGGAACATTTATAGTCCTCTTTTCTGAAAATGAGGGTATGATAAAAAAAAGGAGAGGCCCCTTGGTAAAGGGACTCCAGCTGCCATCTGGTGCCTTGGGATTTTCCTTGGGAAAGGTTAAGTCTGGGAGATTCTGTGATAAAGGGTGCAGATCGGAAGGATTGATGCGTGGGGCTCAGGGAAGGGGAGGGGCTTCTCAATTTGCAAGTAGATCGTGGGAGATGTTCTTTCTCAGTCGTGGTCGCCTCCTATTTGGGGAGCCAGCCCAGACCGTCCTCCTTCGGGCTCTCGTCTTAAGTGTGCTTGTCTCGGTTGCTTCAGTCCTTGGATGTGGCTGTATCGAAAGAGCTTCCTGCTTTTTTGTGAGGACGTGCAGACTCCCCAGCCCCGCGGAGCCTGTTCCGTGGGGCCTGTGTCTCAGAGATTTGCTCTCCTCTTCCCTTCCAGTGTTCCTGAATGTGCTGCCATCCGTCAATTCTCATCCTTCTCTTCACACTCAACGGCCTCCCAACCATGTATAATCAGTTACTCCTGCAGGCTGCTCTCCAGGGCCACTGACATGACCGTCATCGCCTTGCACAGTCTCTACCCCTTCAGACGTGTGGTATTCAGAGGGCTTTAGGGTTGGTCACATTAGCCTTCTTCGTTGGTGCTGAATTCACCAACCCTAGTTTGTTAGTATTACGGATTAGTATTAATGACAATTGTTTGTGCCCATCTGCTGAATGAACACAGTGATGATACTCGGTCTGACTCCACAGCACCGCTGGTCAAAGGGAATGCTGACTCTGGCATTGGGGGATTCTCAGGGGCAGGGTTTACCAGCTGTTAGCTCCCCAAAATGCATTGTCTTTTTGCTTAATTAATACAATGATGCAATGTATTTAAATAATCTTGGCCTGCAGATGTATTCACTCCCTGCCCTTCCTCTCTGTCCCAGGGGCTCTGGAGTGGTTCTCTCAGGAGGGTCTGCTTTCTCTCCGCATGTCCACTTCCTGCCTTCCCAGGCCTCTCTCAGCCCTTCCCATCCCTCTTAGTCAGGGACCCTCCCTCTCTTCACTGGTTTCAGTTTCTGGGTCTGTGGCTTGTTTGGACGTAGCTGATGGCATGTTGTCTGCCTTGTTGGAACGTGAGCTCCTGAAGGGCACTGGCTGGCTTCCTTTGTAGCCCCGGGCCTGGGCACCATGCGGGCACCCTGGAAGCACTTGATAAATGCTTGTTGACTGACTTAAGAACAAGATATTTGCCTTAATGTGGTCCTGGCTTCATTTTGTTTTTGCTTTTGTGTTTTCTTTAAAGTGTAATGTATCCAGGTTACTAAGGAGGCCCATTTGGGAAACAACATTTTTATTAGACATAGTGATAGTAATTTGATGAATAATTATCATGGACTAATGTTGAAATGATTTGACTGACAAACTGGCTTCTTTTCTGCCGTTCCACCTGCCTGGTTTTGGGGACTCAGGGGGCTGCCTTACTGGGGTTGTTGGCCTTCTCAAGCTTTCCCTGTGCTTCCGGGATGTAAAAAGTCAATCTCGAAGTCCCTTTTGTGAGCAGTCTGCGTTTTAGAAAAAACAAAGTGCCTCTTAAACTTTAAAAACCTATACATACCCGCGCACGTGCATGCACACACACACACACCCCCCATCACCCACACCCTCCCATTCCCCCACCACCCACCTCCGGTCTTACACTCTCTCTCTGTCAGAGGGTATTAGGAACACTTGTGTAAACTCTTACGGTTAGTATTCATGCCTGACATCTGGGTCCATATCAGTGCTTTGGCGTAGGGCGTGCGCTGAGTGGATTTGTACCGCTGTTTGGCTCTGTTCTCTGACTTGAGTCCTCAGTAGGTACCTTTTGGTGATTGATGTTGGTTTTGTTGCCTTTTATTTTAGTATTTTTTGTGACACTGTTAGCATAAATTAAATGAGATAACATAAACCCTCCAGCCAGTTGGCAGGCCTGGAATAGTTTTTACTTTGGGTGCTAACCATTCCATCTGCTGTCTTTGAGTAGCCACCAGAAAGAAACAGATGGTGTTTTATTCACACTCTATTTAGATGAGTTCCATTTTCTTCCTAAATGTTGTGAGAGTGCCAGTTTGTGCTTTGCCTTCAATACTTCCATAATGAACAAACAAATACCAGTGGCATTTTCTGTGGGAGCCAGTCCATGGTGAAGGAAGCCCTGGGTACCTCTACCAAAGAGCAGCTGGCCTGTCTCTGAACCTCGGTGTCTTCTTCTACGCACATGAAACTGGAGTTCTTGGAGCTTGCCTCTGGTCCATAAGGTTGGCTTTCATTCTCCTCGTAACTGTGAGGAGGGAGAAGCTTGTCCATACTGAAGCATTTCCTTCTCTTTGATATCATTTTGATGAAGAAGGCATTCGTGAGGTCACAGCTGACACTTGAAGGTTTCTATCTGGTTATGCATGATTGATTGGCCAGGAGGAAATGGTGCCCAGTGGAGAATGCGCTTGGCTGGACCTGTGTGGGTTTTGGGGGCACGAGAAGAAAGTCGGTCACTAACCCCATCGGTGCTATTTCTTCTCCTGTGAGGAGTTGTTCTCTGGCCTTGGGGACACCAAATGCTACTTAGAAGTTCAATAGGTCCAGATGTAGATGCTTGGAAACAGTAACTGTAGCAACCTAGGAAGTGGTGGCTGGCCTGGGGACCAAAAGAGTCCTCGTAATTTTAACAAGCTTGATGAATTTGGCATTCTAGGGTGTGACATTGAGATCAAATGCTAGGTCAGCATGTGGAAGACCTTGCTAGTTAATGAATCAATGGGTTATTGGTGCCAAAATATTAGTGAAACAGGCAGCATGTCATGCCTTCCTTTGAGCCCCTTGAGCAGAATATGGCCCTTTTCAGATTTAAGGAACCCAGGAGGCAGAGCATTCGTGGCATGGAGAACACCTGGAGAAAATGCCCAGAGTCAGGAGATGGTGGGTCTTGTGGGAGGAAGGCCACGGAGGCTGGTGTCACTGGGTCTGGGTCACAGACTGTATGGGGGGACGTAACGTCCAAGAAGACCAGAAAGGTGGGAGCAGAGCAGGTACTGAAGGGCTCTGAACCCCGAGCAGAGGACTTTGTATTTGATCCCAGAGGTGGGGTGACAGGGAGCCAGTGGAGTTTGTTGAGTATACATGGGGGCGGGGGGCATGACATGGTCAGACCTGTGCTTTAGGAAGATCACTTGGGTGGCGGAGTGGGGTTCACCCAGCAGGCTGCTGTAGTAGTGCAGGTGGGAGGTGATGAGAGCTTGCCCAGGGTGGCTGGTTTCAGAGGAGAGAAAGGGGCACGTTCTAGAGATGGTATGAAGGAACGTTTCTAAACCTTGGCAGTAGAGTGGAGACAGGCTAGGGCAAGCACAGAGGTCAGGGTTGACCACTGGGTTTGGAGCCTGAGGGCGAGAGTGGGAATGGCAGTTTCCTTGAGAATGATAGGGAAGTGTAGAGATGGGGAGAAGTTGGGGGGGGGTGAGCTCAATTCCGAACACATTCCGTGGCCCTGCTAGTTCAAGATGTCCAGTCTGCAGTTGGAGATTGGAGGTGGAAGTGGGCACAGCGGCCGGGGCTCCCTAAGTAGATTTGAAAATCCTGAGCGCTGTGGTGATAATTGAATCCCTGGGAGCTGATGAAATCATCGGGAGTCCGTGGGACATGTTCAGTTAGTGGGCAGGGCCTGGATGAAGGGGAAGGAAATGAGCATTTATGTAGCCCTACTATGTGCCAGACACTGTGCTGAGGGCTTTTTATAGATATTATCTCATTTGGTCTTCACACCAACTCTGGGGGGTAGGAGCTGTTATCCCCATTTTATAGCTGAGGAAACTGAGGCAAACAGGTGAACTGACTTGCCCAGGGACACACAGCCAATAAATGCTTGAGACTCGACTTTAACCCAGGTCTTCCTGACTCCAGGCTCAATACTGTGTGCACTCTGGTGCTACCTAGCTGCCTCTACAGCATCCAGTAAAGGAGACACATAGGAGAAGAGCCAAGAGAGAATGGTGTCCTGAAACCCAGAGAGAAGAGGGAGCGTTGACAGCGTCAGCAGCTGCAGAGAAGGCAAAGACATTGAGGAAGGAGGAAAGGCCATTCATTGGATTTGGCAACTGAGAACCCTTTGTAACTTTGGGGAGGGCAGTTTGAGCTGAGGGAGTAGACTGGAAGCCAGGTGGAGAGTGCTCAGAAGAGAGCACAGGCAGGGATGGGGAGACTCCTGTGTATGGGAAGTAGCCTCTTCAAGGGGGTAGCCATGAAAGGCAGGAGAGGCAGGAGAGACGGGCTGAAGATGGGCTGGCCTGGGCGTGTCTGTGGCCGGTAGGGAAGCAGCCAGTAGACAGGGAAGGATTGAGATTGATGGGGGGGGGTGACGGGGCAGTCTGCTGGAGAAAGTGGGAGCGAATGGCATCCCTTATGAAGGTAGAGAGGGGCTTGTGAGCCAAGCCAAGGAGGTGGGTTGGGCTACGGAGGGAGCTCTCAGGGAATGGCCTCAATTCTCACAGCGAGAGTGGGGCCCAAGAGCCAGGGCAGCTTGGGAGAGGAATGACAAGGTGCAGAAGAGATTTAACTGGGGAGTGGGGGAAGTGTGCCCGGGGGTAGGGAGGGCCCATGGGCACTCTTGTGCTGGGGTCAGGGTTCACCTGTGAATGAAGGAGACTTCTGCTTGTTTTCACTGACGTTAGTGACACAGCTGAGGGGCTCGGGTTCACTGGGCCATCGTTCAGTCACTCAGGGTTTTTCACTGGTCTCATCATTTCTGTTTCATTTGGTTTCACCCAGTTAGGGGGCCTTTGCCATCATTGTGAAGGACTGGAAGTTGTACACTTTGTATTCTGCAAAGTGAATGAGTTAGTGGTGGAGTCTGGACTGAGCTGGCCTGCATTTTAATGGGAAATGCAAGGCTTTTTGGAATTCTAATGGACTTGGGCAATTTCAAACATTTTAATGGAGCTAGGGCTGCAAATGGTCCTAATCACAACAGAATATCTATTTGCTTGAAAACAAATTAGTTTTGGCAATTCAGCGTACTTTTTTGTTGGTTTGGATCTTTTGGAGGCAATCAGGATTAAGTGACTGGCCCAGGGTCACAGCTAGTAAGGGTTTGAGCTCAGGTCCTCCTGACTCCAGGGCCGGTGCTGTATCCTAGCTGCCCCGTAGTCCACCACACTTTGACAGCACTGGCCAGTGGCCCCTCACATCCTCTCTCCTGGTTCCTTCATTTTACAGAAAAAGAAACTGAGACCCAGAGAGGATGCATCTTGACAGGTCACAGCTGTTACGTGGCACAGGCTGCAGCTGGGTCTGGATCTGTTGCCCCAACATGTGCTAAAGCTTTCCCTGTGCCAGGTCCTTCTCACGGTGCCTGGCACAGAGTATGCTCCTAATGGCTGCTTGGGCCGAGGCGGTATCCCTGAAATTGTGGTCAGCTCATTCTTGATGGCTTAGGGAAGTCTCACGTGGGTGTCCTGTACTTTTTCCATTTTAAAATTGACCTTTGCAATTGGAAAGTTTCTGAGGGTTGGGGATTTAAGTGAGTGGTAGGAAGAGAAGTGCATGTATTCTGTTCTTCTCCTTTCCCCAATGCCATGTAAATGGTGCATCATGGTATTTAGGAGACGATTGTGAAATACTGATGTGTTTGTTTATTTGCTTTTAGAGAACCAGAGGCCGCAAAAGAAGCTTTGTTCCTGAAGAGGAAAAACCTGAGGTTGGGGACAAAAATACTACTTTTTCCTACAAAATTGAACATTTGTTGGAAAACATCTTTCTGGCCTCCCATTAAACCTGTTCTCCCCCTTTCTCCTTCTTCCCTTGTTGTGGTAGGAGCGAGTTCCTCGGGAAAGGAGACAGAGACAGTCTGTGCTCCAGAAGAAGCCCAAGTCTGAGGACCTCCGTACCGAGTGCGTGACCTGCAAGGGAACTGGAGACAACGAGAACCTCGTGAGGTAGGCCTGGCCTTCTTCAGTGCTCGGGAGGGTTAGCGCTCCCACGGTCGCTTTGTCTCCTTGAGTCTGGGATGAGAGAGCGAAGGTAGGAGAACGTCCCCAGACTGGCTGCTTCGGCACGGCCTTGCTGCTTGCCCTCACTCTGGGTGGAGACTTCCATCCAGTGCACGGGCTGGCCCCCAGACAGCTCACTGTCTCTTGAGCATGGTCTGCCACTGCTGAGGAACCACAGGGTCCCGCCATGCCAGCGCTCTTGTACTTGAGTCTCTGAGGAGACAGTGAGGGGGGTCGGGGGAGCGAGGCAGGCCGGCTTCTCCTCAGACACTTGCCGAGCCCTGTCTCGTCGCACCTCACAAGACATGTGTTAATGCTTCTTTCTTCTGAAACAAAGAAAGCTGAAAAGGTGGCCTGGAAGGAGTTTTGTTTTTGTTCTCAGTTCCTTTTCCCCTTCCCCTTTCTGTCAGGGATCTGGGGGCTGAGTGGGAGGAGCTGACACTGCCCGGGAGCCATGATGGATAGTGCCCACACCTGTGCTGGTTCTGCCCTTCACTTCTTTAGCTAAGCCCAGAGACAGCTTGGCATCATGGTGAGGACACTGACTGGACTTGGGGTCAGGAAGCCTGCTGTTCTCATCCATCCTCAAGCCTCACTGGGTGACTCTGAGAAAGCTGCCTCAGTTTCCTCAGCTGTAAAGTGGAAACACATGGCGTTTCTGAGGCCCAAACGGACTAGTGTACATAAAGTGCTCTACCCATTCTAAAGCACTGAATCGGTGTTCTTCACGCTTAGCCATTTTGAGAAGAAAGTAGACACCCTCCCTCGTGCCCCCCAACTGAACAAAGTCCTGGAAGGCCAGAGACTCATTCAATGCTGGCCATCTGGCCCAGGGTTCTCCTCCACCCCATCGGCTCAGAGTCGTGGCCAGCCCAGCTCCGCCTCTCCCTCCTAAGCTGGGTGAGTCTGGGTGATTCTGCTCACTCTCCCTGAATCTCAGTCTTCTCCTCTCCAGAATGGGGTTAATCCTTGCACTTCCTGCCCAGCCAGCTTACAGTGTTGTTGTCGGGGAGTCCTGATACCAGTAACAAGAATTCAGGTTGTTCTGTTCCCTGCCTCTGGCAGCTAGCAAGACGATAGCCCGGCCCTTGCCCTCCTGGTGCTTACAGTCTGTGAAGGCAGGTTACATCCCTGCAACTGTCTTGTTTCCAAGTATGACTTTCTAGTCCCCAAAAGAATAGAATAATGATGGGTTTCATGGCTGGATTTATTTAAAGAAGCGTCTAGTGGACGTTCAGTGAGGCATCAGCTGGTACGTCTTAGGAATTGATGGGACCTGGTCACCGAGAAGAAAGAAAGTGAGGCTGGTTACCGCCGGGTTCTGGGAGAGCAATGGCGGCCTGCAGCATGAGGGCAGCCGATTGGGACCAGTTGGTTCTCAAGCAGATCTCCATTGAACTAGGGAGAAACTAGACTTGGAATCTTGTTGGTTCCTTAGGCCGTGCCAGTGGGTCAAGTTGACCTAAGTCAAGGACGTGGAGCAGAAAGGGGCACGGTGACACTTAGGTGTCCATGAATAGAAGTGTTGCTGGGCAGCTTGGCCTTTGGGTTCTAGTTCTGCTTTGGGCCCAGAGCTGCCTGTGGGACCCTGAGTGCCTCGCTGTGCTCGGATGGCCCACGCTGTTATCTGATCTGAGCAGAGCTGCTCTGTGTGGGTAGAGTAGAGGGGCTTGCTTCATTCAGAGTTGATAGCAGCAATGAAGAAGTCACAGGTTCAGTTGAAAAATAGATGTCTGTGTGCAGGAGAGGCCTTTGGCACTGTCCCAGGCTTGGCCATTGGGATGATTTTTACAAGGATTCAGAAAACCTGAGCCTTTCGGGTGTGAGGCTGCTCGCTGTGTCAGAGCTTTTTATGAACCCCCAAGGTAGTCCCAGGGAAATGGCCACTTGCTACACTTTTGGGTGGGCGTTTTTCAAGTATGGGCCACTGTCCGGTGTCTGAGGCCAGTGAGCAATCCCTGGTAGCCTCCCAGCTCTGACAGGGCCCTAGCATCATGAAGATGATCTGGACCGTCCTTCCATCGTTTCCCCCCGTCATGTTGTCTCTCTCTGTGGAGTAACCAATCAACGGGAGTCCTGCAGACACGGCATTTTGGGGGATTCTGGGAAGGGTTTGGGAGGCTTTCTTTTTGTTTGTGAGAAGGTGAAGGTGAAGCTGTGCAAATGCCAGAGTCCCTGGTTGGGTTTTCTCAGGAATATAAGGGTGTTAGGTCCATTCCTACGTAGGTTATTAAATATTTTTGAGTACAGTTTTGATTTGAGTGTGATTTTAAGTAGCTTATAGAGCAGTACTGAAGAGAGTGGCTTTGTCCTTTTAGGGAGAGAGGAAGAGAGGGAGGGGGAAAGAGAGAGGAGAGGAAGGAGGGGGCGGGCAGGAAGAGCTCATTCCTCTAAGGCCTTACATCTGCCTGTTAGAAAGTGGACTCTGCCTCGTTTGGTTGGAGTTTAAATGTGGTGCATCTCCATGATCTTTTTTAAACTTTTTTTAAAAAAATTATGACATTTAAAATGAAGTTTCCTGTGTTCTAAGCGTATATTTCAGTGCTCGGGAAATAGACCCCAAAGATGGATCTGAGTGCGAGAGTGTATCTGTTGTGCCTGTTTAACAGCCTTGAAAAAATGAAAACTTGGGGGAAGTCATTTCTTGGACGGCTGGCACCACACCACACATACAAAGTGTGGACTTAAATAGGCACTGTCTCCCTAGGAGAGTGTAAGCCCCCTGAGGCCAGGGGCTACTTGATTCTCAGCACCTAGTGTATAGTGCCTGGAACAGAGCAGGCACTTGATAAACACTTGAGGATTGATTGACAAACAAAAGCCTTTGTTTTCCTTCCAAGCTCCACTGTCCACATTGATGCATATCTCTGTGACTGAGAAGTTAAGTGGACACGCCCACAAGGCCAGTGAGAACAGTGCCTGGTCTGGAGAAGGAGTGTGAGGTCCTGGCCCACAGATGACCTCAGAGGCCTGAGGGAGAGGATCAAGGGCCTCTAGAGGGGAGTTGGCACCCCCTCAGGCAGTTGGGCAGTCCCGGAGCTGAGTGTGGCCCCAGAGAGCCGGGATAGATATGCAAGGACACCGGTGGGCTGCCCCCTGGGCTCCCAGAGTCAGAGAGGCCTGATGGGCCTCCGGATGGTGGAAGCCACCATTGACTGGACCGGTCTGTCCTCTGGGGCCCCATCCAGCGTGTGGCCAACACCTGCTGGTCATGCCTTCACACGTCTGCCCCTCCACTGCCCAGAGGGGGTGCTGTCGCTGTGGGTGGGTCTGGCTGCCCCCTTCCTCCTCTCCAGGCTGTCCTCCTCTGGGACGTCATCACTGCTCCATCTGTTCCTGATGACTCCAGAATCACACAAAGACCTTCCTTTGCTGGCCCTTTCCCACCTCGTCCCCTGCACGTACTCTCTGGCCCAGTGACACTGACCTCCTAGACATGGCTGACCAGGTCTCCCGTCGTGGAATGCTCCCCCACCTTGGCATCCTTCAGTCTTGGTCCTCTTTGCTACTGCCTTCTGCTCAGGGCTTAGAATAGGGAAGTATCGTAGTTCCTGCCTAATGAATGCTTGTTCACTAACTGTGTCAGGACAGAGGCCGCGTGGTCACGGGGTCATGGAGCCAGGGAGACCTGGGTTCCAGTCCTGCCTCTGACACTTGTTAGCTGTGTGACTCTGAGGAGTAACTTCCCAGTGCCCTGGGCATCTTTGTAAGGTTTCCGTCACCTAGGAGAAGCCAGCCAACGTGGGGAAAGGAGGTTCCTCACCTTGAGGTCCTCTCCCCTTCTCTGATGAAACCATGTGTCCAGTCTCCAAAAAGGAGTAGGCCCTGGGGACCGAAAAGTGAAAATGGGAGGCAGACAGTGTGTTAATAGAACAAGAGTGACTGGCCGTTCTTGAGCACATGAAGGTTTGCAGATCACTTTCTCTGTGTTGTCAGTCACCCTGGGAGATGGTGCAGTTGTGTGGGGGCACATCATGACTCAGTGTCTGAGGCTTGGACTTGGGTCTTCCTGACCCCAGGCCTAGCACCCTGCACTGTGGGCACCCTAGCTGCTTCTTGCATCCAATAGAATTAGGGGCAAAGTGGAAAAAAAAGAGTAAAAACATTTGTCTGATAACAGACTTTTAGAGTCAGTGAGCATGCAGTCACGAAGCCCACACTGTTTGCCAGGCACTTTGCTGGGCCCTGGGCATCCCAAGACAGGTGGTCCAGCCAGTGATGGCCAGGTCCATCAGAAAGTCCATCAAGGTTTCCTGGAGCACCCTCTCAGGGTGCATGCAGGTGCATTTTTTACCCAGGGGCATTCTCCACTCTGCAGTCTCAAACTCATCATGGGGGTGTTGCCCTTCCTCCAAAAGTGTGTTCTTCATATTTCCTGTAGGCTTTTGTCTCTCTGTAGCAAGAGGGTCCCTTTCCCGGGGACGCCCGTTCTTGGCTCTCCTCAGCCTGCTCTGCAAGGCCTGGCTGTCTCTCCTCTCCAATGTCCTACCTAGCAGGTTCTCCAGAAGTTCTCAGCATCCTCATGTCCTCCTGTGGGCTGCAGAGGACACTCAGAGATGCAGATGCTGCAGCTGAGATGGGCAGGCGTGGCCTTGAGCAAGGAGGCAGAGGAAGCAGTCACGCCCATTGGCAGGGGATATCCCCATTGTCGCATCCCATCGATCCTCCACTAGAAGACCTCATGGGGGAGCTCTTCCTCCAGGCTTCGCTAGCTCCCCTTGTCCCCTCTGAGATCTCCTCCTGTTTATCCAGTAACCGGCTTGCTTGTTTCTTCCCCTGTTGGATTATGAGCTCCCTGAGGGCAGGGACTTTTCTTTTGTACCTCTTTTAGATCTCTGGCCTCATCGACACTTACTGACTCAAGTCTCGTTATTAGGTTTTTCCCTCCATCATCTGTCCTTCCTGTGCCAGGCCTTCCCATGCTTGACCACGACCAGCTTGCCCCA